TATTTTATTTAAAAACTGAAGTGCAGAGGTTGCACAGTTTCAGAGTTTTTCTCAAATAGCTCACGACTGTAACATTATTGAAACTAAACTTTCTGTTCTTGTTCTTAACTTTGACACTTTGAAGAAAGGAACATATACCAGTTAAATCTCCTCTGACAGATCGAATGACATCTCCCAAGCTGCAACAGACAAGATAAGGGCCTATTATCCTGAGTAGCATTCTCATAGAAAGAATTTTTGAATAAGTACTCTAACAAAGTAAGCACTAACACTGACTTGTTACGGTTTTCCTTTTAAAAAATCCAGCAAGTTGTTCCATGGTCATTGTAATGATCACAGTTTATGGTGATACTTTCCTTCTCTCCCATTCCCACTAATGTTTTAATATTGTAGCTCCTTTGACTCCTAAAAATGCTCCCTTTAAGTTTTCTCAAGCAAAGAATAGCACTGTACTTTGTAATCATTCCTGTAGTATTTCCTTTACCATTGTCACTCTAGAGTTCATGACAAAGTGTTTGGTAAATCTCATAATTTGGGGGTGGGGGAGAGGTGAAACTAAATACGCTTTTTTCCCTGTTTCTTCTTTTTATTTTTTTGTAATATCAGGTTGCAATGAAAAGTTACCTAAGATAAACCTTGATTTCTTACAAGATCCTGAGAATCAATTTTGAGTTCTCATATCATTTAATTTGATTTGTTATTGATATTGCTGGAAAGAATCAAGGAGAAATAAAAATTTTCAAAAGTGTTTATGTCCTTAGAAATAACAACTTCCTACCCCTTTTCTAAAAAGATGTCTTATCGTTTTCTCTGGATTAGTGTAGGCCAATGAAAAAAAACCTCACAATCTAGGGTAGATTCGGTGAAAATAATGGAAACATCTGGAATTCTAGAGATGATTAGTGTACAGTAGGCAACTTTAATGTACACATTTGTTGCATTGGCAATAGTCTTATATTTGAATATGTTAGTTTTCTATTGCGACATAACAAATTACCATAGACTCTGCAACTTGAAACAACACACATTTATTTATTATCTCGAAGTTTCTCTGGGTCAGGGGTCTGGACACAGCTTAAGTGGGCCCTCTGCTTGGGTCTCATAAGGCTGCAATTAAAATTTTGTCCAGGCTGCCTTTCTTTCTGGAGCTTGAGGTCCTCTTACAAATTCTCTTGATTGTTGGCAGAATGCAGTTCCTTGTGGCTTTAGGTCTAAGGTCCCAGCTTTCTGAAAGCTGGCTGTCAGCCAGGGGCCCCACTCAGCTCCTAGAGGTGCGTGCAGTTCATTGCCATGTGGCCCTCTTACAACCCCTTTCACAACATGGCAGCCGACTTCTTCGAAGCCTGGAGGGGAATCTCTCTGACTTCTAGTTCCTCTTGTACAGGGCTCATCTAATTAGGTCAGGACCTCCGGGGATAATTTTCCTTTCCTTAACTCAAAGTCACATAATTAGGGGCCTTAATTATCAATATATCTGCAAAAGTCCCTTTGCCTTTGCAATATAACAAAACCTATCACAAGAGTGACACCATCATATTCACAAGTACCGCCCACATGCAAGGGGAGGGGACTATACAAACTATGTACACCAGGGGCCACGAACCTTGGAACCATCTTAGAATTCTGATTACCACAAATATCAATGATGAATCTAAAGGAATCTTTGCAAATACTGTATTTGGCCTATATTTTCAAAGTTTTCTTGTTGGGCTTCACACTTACAAGTGCCTCCAGGGATTAGAGCCACTAAATGATTATAATTCCATGTATCTTTGCCTTTTTCTACTGAACACAATTGGGAATGACTCAGGTGACTTAGAAAAATGGCAAAATGGAGAGAAATTCAGAAAGTCAATGTTTAGAAAACCAATGACAAGCCAAAAATGCTTCCTGAAATCTATCTCCAGTTCTGTTTACCACCATTGGGTTTTTTTATACCAATCAAAAGGATAAAATGTCCCTTTGAAACAAAACATGCTAGATGTTTGCTTCTCCTGCTGTAAAATTCTTTATTTTTCTATATTGAACTTTGAAGTAATATTTTGTTTGCTTCAGAAAATGGGTAGAATTACTTTATCTTTTTTAAAAAATCTGATACTCCTTGAAAACACACTGAAATTAAAGTTTTGATTCATTAGGAGAAAGCCAATCAGTCATTAATCTGTACAGTAATTGTGTAACAGTTGTCCATAGATAATTGCCAAAAGAGATTTTAATGAGGAGTTTATTTTTAAAGTAATGTACACAACTAAGTTCGATTTCAAAAATAAAAGCCAAGATTAATGTTCTGTAACTTTTAACATAGAATAGTTTACTAACATTTTGAAATTTTGTCTGGTCAATTAAGTATATGAAGCAAATTAACAAAAACATACATTATGCATGTAGAGAAAATATTAAAGGATATAATAAGGAAATGTGCTCAATACGAGTCTTTAAAAATTGAAAACACAAAGTAATTTTGAGATTCATGACAGCCTTAGGGTTCATATTACTCGACTGTGATAAATTTAGAAGATTATACATGGTTTGGCTTGTTCATGCATACTGACAGGATTTCTTTCCTTTTTAACCCTTTCAAAAAGGGTTTAAATTTTACTATTTTTTAAATTCATATACCAACTTGATCATTCTTGATACTTATTATTCCCTAAATTTTACTTATAATTCCTCTTTTGAAAAGGTAAACAGTGGATTTAAATCATGTCAATGTTTCTGCAGTATTTAAAATGACATGGATTGGAAAGCATGAACTTTTCAAAGAAGTAATAATTTCTTGAGTCCAACCATTTGCTATCTTTACTAACATTAGTTCAGATACTGGATTTCATCAGTCATTCATTGTCCAAAAAAAACAAAAAACAAAAAAAACAACCTGCCATCTTCAAAGTTTGGGCATTTTTCATTTTCTTGTCTATTTTTGTTTCATGACACATAGTCCAGGCATTTGACTGAATTTAAATCAGTGGACTGGTTGACAGCCTAAAAACTGGTTTGTACAAGAGAGGTTTCAATGACTTAGGAGATTTATTTACATTTTTGTAGCTTTATTTCTTTAATTTTTTTTTTTTGAAATCTCCTCTCTAATGTAATTACATGATGATAACCACAGCTTAGGTTATTTGCAGTGAATGTTCATCCAAAACCTCAATGCATCCTATGTTGGAACATTGATACTGTATGACTGGTTACTCATTCATTCAACAAGCAAGCAAATACAGCTAAAGTCAATGGGCTTAGTGACTTTGTTTTTAATTCAGATCACAAATGGATATTGATCAAGAAAGGATCTGATTCACATTTGTCAAATTAGTAAGATATCATTGTATTCATGTCTGACTATGCAAATGTGCTTAACCAATTTGCAATTTGTTTCTTTCTTTGGAGTCAAAACTTCAAGTTTTGCTATGTCCAAGCATCTGTTAGTAAAGCCACAGATAAAACTAAGAACTGTACAAGTAGTTTAAATACCTTTTCAGACTTTTGGTACGTTCCAGACCTTTTGATAGATGTCTTAAACATAGAGGGAGGCAAAGCAGACATGGTCTCTGTCCTTATAGAATCTGCAGTCACACTTGAAAAGTCATGTTGTAGAATCACGTTAAGGGAATCTGCAATCAGAAATAACAAGGATGTACTTAGATATAGGCCAAACTAACTAAATTTCTGGACATATCTATACCATGGTACCTAGCAATTATTCAGTAACAGCTACATGCTAATATCATTATTTTTGTTACTTATTTTTCCATTTCACCCAAATAATTCTCTAGTCATAGGCAGAACACAACACAAGTAGACATGTTTAAGTAAAATGGAATTTGTATCTTTTGGGAAATTCTTTTGAGAATTTTGTTTCTTTGCAGACCAATTTTATGCTACAAACTTAAGAGAGCCCAAAGTTGTCATCTTATGTGGAGACTAGGAGTCATTCCCTTTATTTTTATGTTTCAATTTTCATTGTTTTAATTGGCACCCTACCAAACTGATAGATGCCTCCAGTTGTGTATGTCACCATGGTTGCTGAGAACATTATAAATCCAGTAATTAAGAGGGATTATTTTCCCATTATTTTCTTCACAAAGTATTTCCTATGCTGGAAATGCTGTGAAAACCTTAGACTATATAATAAAAATACTATTTTTAAAAACAAGCTTTTATTGCATTTTCTTAACATAAAAGTAATGTATGTTCATCACAGACAAGTAAGCAAAAGACAAGTAAGCAAAAAGAAGGCAATGCAAATCACCCCAGTCCAACACACAGAGAGAACTACTGTTACAGTTTATGCAATTTCCTTCCAGTTCTTTCTTTGTGCATAGAAATGCCTTTTTAAATGATGTCAGAGTAAACATCCCATTTTATAATTTATTTTTTTTAGTTAACATTATATTATGAATATCTTTCCATGTCATTACTCTTTTACAGTATTTACAGTGTTTGCATTGGTTGTGCCATGAGTATTTAACCAGTCACCAATTGTTGGGCATTTAAGATTTTTTTACTTTTAGTTTTTCTTTTATTCTATTTTAAATAATTCATTGAATGAACAACTGAGCTGCCATTGTTGAGGGTGTTTTTGTGTTAACTAAAGAATGTAAAATGTGGAAAAAATACTTTGGTGCTGCAGTAAGGTAACTGGCAAGATGAAGTGATTGCATGTGAGGTCTTCATGTGTGCGTAAGTGGCCTTCTTTTTAAGGGTCCCAGAGGTCACAGTCACACACAACACTGGAAAAGTTCAGCGCTGTGTTATTAGAAAAGATTCAGTAACCCCAAATGGTCTGTGATTTAGTAGAATAAATTGAAATCAATTATAGACCAACTTATCAGGGGACCATACTGTCCCTTTTTTGTTCCTGTGACAAATGCAAAGCAATTCAAAACAAATTTTCCATTCACAGGTGGATTTTTTTTAAAAAAATTCTTGAAGTATTTTAGGTTGCACAAGCCACTGTTCCATGAATTAAAGTTTGTTTATCCACCGATCCTTCTTGCCAGGAATGCCATCTCCAACCACACTGAAGAAGTCGGAGAAGTCTGGTTTCAGCAGCCCCTCCCCTTCGCAGACCTCCTCCCTGGGAACGGCATTCACACAGCATCACCGACCTGTCATCACAGGACCCAGAGGTGAGCTCCTCCACAGGGACCCTTGGTTGTGCTTATATCCCGGCCTTCGGACCAGACTAGCAAAATGAGAGACAAGGAGGACTCCCCCAGAATGCTCCTAAGGGCAATGAGTGTTCCAATTTCTTATCTTTGGCAACAGCCTTGGGATTTTAGAGACCAAAGAGATTTGACATCAAATCTTTGGTTCTTTCCTAAGGCAAAAGGGCATTAAACCAAAATATTTTTTGCCAGTGAGATTTTTGCAAGGAAGTGGCAAGTAACGTGAATTAAATCAAATCTGTTTCTACAAGTTAGGTGAGAGGGGGTGTGTGTGTGCGTGTGTGTGTGCGTGTGTGTGTGCACATGTGCATGTGTTAGCTGAGTTTGTTTCCATGTGGTCAGTTACCTGTTTTTAAGTAATAGCTTTTTTTCATTCTCTCATCCCTGCTAATTCTCTTTCCATGAAACCTGATTTCAATATGCAGCAGTTTGTGTCGAGGTTGTTTGCATCAGGGTGTTAACGAGCAGTCTTCATTCACTCCTTTTAAAGTGGTAGATACTTTGTCTGGTTTTCATTGCAAAGTTTTCATTATTTTTGCCTCATATGCTTTTAAGTTTATTATTAAAATGTGCCCACAGAAATATGATTTGTATTTCACATTAAAGTCAAGCTTTAAACCTCAAGAGAATGTCAGCAAATCACTTAACTTGATCTTATTGCAAGATGAAAATATTTATTATTTTGTTTATGAAACTCCCACAGTAGGCGTATGAATAATTGTAACCACGTTTGCTTTCTTCCGTCAGATTTCTGTTTAGGTAGGTCTGTGATCTACCAGCTGGTATCATAAAACATCCTAGAAAGTTATGGTCCCTTGTCTGCTTTGACATATGCCTGGGGAAACTGATATTTCTTGCATCAATCTCAGTGTTAGTCCCACAAATCTGAATCCCTTTATAAATATACTCTGTGTGCATCTCGGGAAATATGGCAGGTAAGAGGGCCATCCAGGGCACACATGGAAGTCACACTGACGAATATAAGCATTCTGACTATGATGTGAAGCAATTTCTATATCCACAATCATGAAAACTTACTTGCTTCATCCTTAAACATCTTGTGATCATTGGTAGAACTTTCTCAAGATCCTTTATTGCTTCATCTTTATGTGTGGTATAATCAGAGAGGCTTTCTCTCTAGATAGATAGATAGATAGATAGATAGATAGATAGATAGATAGATAGATAGATTAGATAGATAGATGGATTTTTTAATTCAATAACCTGCATCTGAATTGGATTATAAGCTCCCAAAATTAGTCTTATTAAGTACTATTATGATATTGTCTTCATAGTTAATGTTCATTGAGCGTCTCAACTGTAGTGAGGAAGCAGAGATATGAAGCCCTTTTAGTCAGAATATTTATGGTCTCAGGGAGATAAGGCATGTGTCGTCTCTCATCTTTTTATGGCCAGGTTAACATATTCTAAATGCTAAATGAATGTTAACAGAAAAAGTTTCTACAGGAGCTCAGAGAGGAGACTATGGAGGTTCATTCATTCATTAGCCAAGGATTTGCCAAGTGCCTGTGTAAACACTGGGGCCAGTGGTTCCTGTCCTCCCAGAGCGTACACTCAGTGCAGGAGAAAGACGCACAAGGAAATAATTAATTGGAAGATGATGTGGAATGTGCTATTACTTATCACTTTGTATCAAATAAAGAAAATTCAACAAGTAAGTAATGTTGAAGTCCAATCTTAAAAGATGCATATACAGATGCAGAGCATTCCAACAAAGGAAGAGTCATGGTGTAGTGAGTTATTGTGTTAAGAATTGAGAAGGACAGTATGCTAGCAATCAGCAGAGCTGGGTAAGCTGCCTCTTTGCCTTTCCCCTTACCCTCTGGGGTTTTAATGTCCTCATTAGAATGGGTACAATATTACCGTTGAATGAAGCTTTCTTCTCAGTCTTATATTCTTCTATAGGTACTACAATAAAAAAAATCTGTGAGGACTCGTGAAGAGCATAAATAATATGCGTATATTATCATTTAGTCAATAAATAGTGGGAGTGCCTTGCCTTTAAATCGCAGTTCTAGAAAGTATTATAACTAGCACTTACTCATGGGTACATGATTGGGAGCTGCTTCATGCTAGACGACTAAGCACATTTGCTAAAATGGTCCATGCTGGCTCGAACCAGAATGGACCTCCTTAGCCCACAGCACAATCGGTTTTGATCTCCTATTCATAGTCATAAAGTTGTATATGAGGGAAAGAGAAAGATGCCTAGTGTGAGAATTGTGGAATACCAAAGATTCTTTGTTTTCACCAGAATTCAAGATGGTTCCCAGCATCCTCGGTTCTCCTTTCTGGAAAGTCTGCTCAGGTACCCATTCTTATTGCACCCACCCCCCTTGGTGGTCTGGTGAAGGGAATTGGAGTAGTTGTGATGAAACTCTGCAGTTGCATCTTTGTGGTAAGAATCATAGAGTGGAGACAGGCTAACATAAGACTTTTTTTTTTTTCTTTTGTGGCTAAGATATTTTTAAAAGGTTGGAATTCAGCCTCTCATTATTTAAGAAGTATTTGCTACAGGTACTGTATTCCCTTTCATTCTTCTCTGAACTAGTTGGAAAGCTAGTGCTTGGAATGATATCACATTTGGGTCTAAAACTTGAGGTTTTAAGACAGTGAGGCCACAGTTGAGGAAGGACAGTGGAATGGGGGGAGTCAGCATGGCATAGATGTGACGTGTGCACATTAAAGAGAATGCAACCTCTGGTGCTTCTTTTATTGCATAGAGTTGTCACATCCCCAAATGGGAAATCATTAGAAAATCAAACTTTAAAAGTGCTTTGAAGAAGAGAAATGTGTCCTTTATCAGGTCTTTAGGAGATGGGGTGGGGCTCAGGGGAGGCCATTTACTGTTCTCTTGCTCAGAGTCCCACAGCATGTTCACCTCTGGTTAGGACCAGGTTACACGGCTTCTGCGGCCTTCCCTAACATTTCTCATGGGAATGCCTCAACTAGACAAGCAGCAGTCAGTAAGCAATAATTGTATAACACATCTTAGTGCTCAGGACAGAGGGGATATTTTAACAGAGTTATAGCAAAGCAAGGTAACCTCACTAAAAAAAACAAGGACCCTATTTCTGACTGCAAACATAAGCTATATTTGGAAATTTAGTGGCCAAATTTTACAAAGAAAACTTTTCTCGAAAGATTGCAAAGCAAAGGCAAAAAAAAAAAACAGGGACTTAGAGTGAGACAGCATAGCATGGCAGGTGTCTTTGTCTGTTTATGCTGTTAGAATAAAATACCATAGACTGGGTGGCTTATAAATAACAGAAACTTATTGCTCATGGTTCTAGAGGTTGGGTAGTCCAAGATCAAGGTTCTGGCAGATTCCGTGTCTGGCGAGGGTCATAGAAGGCTGTCTTCTTGCTGTGTCCTCACATGGCAGAAGGGCCAAGGGAGCTCTCTGGGGTCTCTTTTATAAAGGCACTAATCCCATTCATGAGGGGTCTACCCTCATGCCCTAATCACCTGGCAAAGGCCCCACTACCTAATACCATCACGTAGGGGGTTATGATTTCAACATACGGATTTAGGGAGAATACAAACATTTACTCTATAGCAGTGTAAAAACACAAAAGCTCAGGGGGTCAGATGGACCCATGTTTGAATTCATTGTCCTCCACTTGGTATGTTACTTTACCTCTCCGAACTGTAGGTTTCTCATCTCTAAATTGGATGTCATAATCTCTGTGTTGAAAGAATTATAAGTATTAAACAAGGAACAAATGAAATCGCGTATTTGTACTTATTCATACAGTGCCTGGAAACATAGTGATCTATTTTCATCCAGGCTTTGAAAATCCCATACTGTCCCTACTGCCCTCAACTATGAACATTTTGCCCATCCCCAAGACAAGCTCAAGTACCACTTTTGACATGAAACTTCCCCAGCTCCACCCAGCTTGCCATCACCTCACACTCCTTAAACTCCTGCAGCCTTTCATGCCTGCACAGCCACTCCACCAACTGTGTCTGGCTTTATTAATGAACGTACATGTTTCATTGCCCTCCTAGAGTGAAACTTCCAAAAGGAAATATCTGTAACTTATATATTTCACTATCTTCATTGTGTCTCCCACAGTGGGTTTTATGCTCAAATATCGGTTGAATGAATGAAAGTAGTCAAGTTGCATATAAATGCACACAAAGACATTCGTCCCCTCCCTGACCCTAGTAGGTTCTTACTGCTTGGGAAGAGCCCAGGGTGAGAAATGTATGGGAGCTTATGCAGTACTTCTTTATAAGGAATGGCAAAGATAGGAAAGAGCCATGGCCTTTCATGCAAAGAAAACTTGTACAAGATTACCTTAGTAAAGATTCAATATTAAAAGCTATGATTTTTCTTAGTTTGTGCTGTTCTCACCACTTCCGTGTTTACATTGTAATGATAGAGACATGTGGTTTCTTAAAATGAATCCTCTCTGTAGCACTGGCTCTCTTTGTGGCTTTGATAAATCACTTAACCTTGTGGCCTCAGTTTGGCCATCTGTACCATGGGGATACTATTTTGCCACCTGTTTCTCTATGTGGTTAAAAGTAGGTAAAGAGGTTGAACTATTTTGGAATATCCTGCAGGTGGGAGAAGATATTAAATTTCAGTAAAGGCATTTGTACATCATTATATATTATTATAATTACTGTGCACTTTAAGCTGAGAGATTGGGCTTTCAAAGACTTTTTTTTTTTTACCACTACTTAAAATTGTAACCATAATAAAGCATTTAATTATGATAATTTATCATATGCACGACGACTGGGGAAAAAAAAGACATTTGTTCTCCCCTTTGCCTTTTTAGGTTTTGTAAGTTTGCCTGCTGGTCTAAAGCTGTGGTCTCCAACCCCTGGGCTGCGGACCAGTATCAGTCCGTGGCCTGTTAGGAACCAGGCTACACAGCAGGAGGCAAGCAGTGGGCGAGCGAGCAAAGCTTCATCTGTATTTA